AAATAAAAGGATTACTTCTTTAGCTTAGGGAGGCGAATCTGCAGATGACAGAAATGTAGCCCATCCATGGGCCTCTTTCTGAAACGTTTCCAGCTTGGTGGACCCTGACAGAGCTTGCAGTGTGATGACACAGCCTTTGAGAACCTAACATCACCTCCATTCCATGGTGTGGCCTCAGAGTAGGACTTAAATCCTAAGCAAAAAACAACCCCCCCTTCCCCCCACCCCAACAACCACCACCACGAACACCACCAAAAAAACGAAGCTCTGCCATTTAAACTGAGACATTTGTGATTGAAATACAGTCTGCATTTCACAGCAGTGGGAATACAACACTGCAGTGTAAGCTCTAATCTGTGAGATCACTCAGCTCATGGTACATCGGGTAAAGGGCTGGCCTTGGAGTTAGGAAGACTTGGGTTCACATCCTGATTTTGATCCCTCCTGGCTGTGTGGCTCTGGGCAGGTCACTCAATGTCTCTGTGTCCCAGGCACCTCTCAAAGCTGCAGAATTGTCAATTATCATCGATGAAGGGGATTTCCATACCAGGAGTTCTGAGGGGTACCCCCCCCCACAATGAAATAATAGGTCCAGGTTTTTAAAAAAGCAATCAGCTTTTCTAAGCACAAGGGAGTAATACTATGTAAATTAAAAAAAATTGTCTGATGCAAAATGATTTGTTAAGAGAATTCTTTATTTTTATATACTTCCCGAATAAATTCTGAACCTTTCAGAACTCCCTTCCAATGACTATCTTCTTTGAACATCAAAGTTTTTAGGAATTAATTTAAAGAACAAGGTTCCGAAGGGCATATTAAGAGAGGGCTTGTGAAGGATAAACCAGGAGCTCCTACCTTTCAAGTCAGGCAATGCCACTAACTGCCAAAGTAAGTCCTCCCGTGCCCTCTCCCCCTTCGGTGGATATGAGTCTTTACTCTTGCTCTTCTGACAGCTGGAGGAAGTTTCATTAAAGGGGGAAAAAAGGCTAAGCCTTTAACATTTATAGAAATCAGACACCATGTGGTTATGTTTTAGTTCACATTGCTCATAAATCTTGTTCTTAATTTAACCGACCTTTGTTACCAGATCAAAACGAAAAACACACTTTGGTTCATATTGGACACACTGGATTGATTTCCTTTGTCCTTACAAATTGCTCTCTCCCATTATGCGTATCATTCTTGAGGCTTTCTGAAAGGCCACAGCTTGTGGAAATGCAGGGCTTATTTTATTTTAAGACCCTGGGAGGTGGTCTTTTAAGAAAACTGTTGTCTTCAACTATGGGAACAGAAGGGCAAAATTAATAAAAGGCTTCCGTCGGTGTCTCTGAGACTGAGCAGGACTAGAGTGACATCCTCTGGCCAAACAGCCTTAGTAATTTTCAATTCTATTTGCTTTTGCTGATTCTCCAACAAGGAAGGGAGGAGAGGCCTTCCTTAGATGGGTGCTCTGCTTGCTGGCTTATCTCCACACCTGTGTTTCCACATCAAGAAAGTGACTGCTGTCAATCTCTTTTTTCCTGATTCTTGGAATGTGGATACCTCTGTGGCATTTTTAGAGGTTGGCACAACGTATAGGGTCATAGAACGCTGGAGCAGTGAAGGGACCTTAGCAGTCACCCAGACTGGCTATCTCATTTTGCAGATGAGGAAACTGAGGCCCAGAAGGGTTCAAGGAGTTGGTGCAGTCATCACAGAAAAACCATGAAAAAATCAGCCTGGGAGATGACAGTGTTTTCTGTAAACTTAACACACTTGGAGAGCCAAGATGCTTTAACCTCAATAAAGATGTGAAACTTCTGTGTTCAAGCGTAAGATCAAAACTTCTCACTTTCAAGTTCACACTGGAGCCAGGAGAAGCTGCCTGCCTATCCGAGGATGGAATGCAGCCAAGACCACACATTGGCCCTCTCGCTACATTCCTCGGCCTCACTTTGAAGGTCTCGTCTTTATAATCTGCTTTCAACAAAAGCAAAGCTAATGTTTTTGAAGGTCTCTACATGAGTGCCTGAAAAGAAAGAAAACACGGCAGAAGGGAGTCTCCCAAGAGCTGAGACCTCTGCAGCAGAGCCCGTGCCTGGGCTGGGTGATGTCTGGGACCTGCCTCCCAAGGAGGCTCTGCTTTCTCCTCTGCTCGGAGCTTTGAGCTTCAGCCTTGATTTCATCACTCTACTAACTCTCCTCAGAGACGCTTTGAAAGAATACTAGCCCGCAGTCTTCTTTAAGCTTCATCTTCGTCTCATAGTCCCCTTTTCCCCCTCTTAATTTGTAGACGCCTACACTGCTGACGGAATGTGTCTGTATAGGAGCAAATGGAAAATTGTGTTCAATAAACACGTTCAGCAAACAGTAATAATGATGATGATGATGATGGTGATAAACTACTGCCTTTACAGATGGAATGTTTCCTATTCAGCTGGAATCATAACTAGGGTGTGGTGATCCGAGCTTTGCACCAGGGCTGGGTTTTACAGGGAACTGACAGCACTTTCAGTCCTTCAATATATAAACATGCTAGAAATCAGCATCTACTTAGTAAACGTAATCATCTAAACCAGGAAAATACCAGATAGAAGGATAGGGCGATCTCTTCCCTTCCTGGAACCTGCCCCTTCTTCCCCACCCCTAGGACAGTGTGCTTAGGGCCATTTGTCCAAGATATAGTTTGTGTTGCTTAAATCAACCAAAGAAAAACCCAGTTATGACTCTATAGCCAACACAGTCTCTAAAAATAAAATCTTATTGGTTGTAAAAGTAGGAATGGGAATCCAGTCTAGCTCCTGGGCCTTTGACGCTACTGTTAGCATGCACCGTATTGGAGCAGGGCACAGTGGGTGAGTAAATGCCCCTCAGAGGACTAGAAAAGCTGCTCTCTCTTAGCAGTCTGTTTTCTGGCTGTGCTGGGTCTCCAGGTATCTGCAGCTACTGCCACCATTTTGGAAGGGCTGAGCACCAGTGAAGGGGAGGGAATGGTGCCCCTATTGGGAGTACAGTCGTTTTTCACTGGGTGTAGTAACAAAACGGAATATCTGGACAGAGTGGATACAAGTGTTCCACAGGGGAAAGGAAAACCCTCAATGCTGGTCCATTGCGTGGAGCTGGAGAAGCTTCCATATTCCTCTTGCTTCTTCCTCCGTCTTTCTCCTCTCCTTTCTTCCAGTCCTTGCAAGATCCCTTTTCAAACCTCTAGGTTTGCCCACACTTTGTGTTTATACACAGCCTCCTGTGATTGGAGTCTTTGATCGCAGATTTTTGTGGCAAGACAAGATCAGGGCTAATGCCATTTTGACCTTCAACGATTCCCCAGTATAACTGCCATCCTCATTGTCTGGCCAAGCTGTGCCTGCCAAGACTGGGATTCCCGACAGCAGTTTGTACGAACTGATTACCTGGAGGGCAGCCATGAAACAAGGCTGCCGGCAGAGCTGAGTGAGGAGGCCATGATGAGCGATGATGGGAGAGTGCCTGGCAGGGAATCACAGATTTCTGGGAAGGGCTGACAAGTAACTGTAAGCCTTCGAAGAGCAGCTCAATTTAAGACAAGAGAGGTCTGCCAGGGCCAGCTTTTAAACAGCCCAGACTTAAAACATGACTTCATTGAGAGCAAAATGAATTCGCCCCTAATGAGTTGAGAGGGCAGCTGGTTGGTAAGTCCAAGTATCCAGAAGTCAAAACGAATGAAGAACAGAAAGTTAACTGTTTGCAGCCAGAGATGCCAAATATTGGATCTTGGCCGCATGGCCAGAAGGCCTCTTTCATTTCCACCTGGGTCGTGGCATCATTAACAAGGCCATGAATCTGAAATAGAACTATTGGGTCCCAATAGCTGACATGTCTAATAGTCTTCCGAAGACTGGCAAAGCATTTTTACTGATAGTAAATGGTGAAAATGGAGCCTCAGGGGAGCTAAATGAATGATTACAAATAGTAAAGGCATCAGGTCAAGTCAAGAAGCATTTATTAAGTGCCTACTGTGTGCCAGCACCTTGGTGAAACCTACACTGAAACCTGGGTCTCTCCTGAGTCCACGCCAGGTATGTCACCACATCATAATTACTTGATGCGAGTGTGATAGAGTAAACGGATGACCGGTCACAGGCAGCTGGATAGCGAAGAGGATAGAGCACTGGAATTAGAATTGGTCTTGGAATCTAGAAGAGCCAAAGGTTAATCCTGCCTCAGCCACTAGCTGTATGACCTTGGGCAAGTCATTTAACTTCTCTCTGCCTTGGTTTCCTCATCTGTAAAACAGTGATAATAACAGCACCTACTTTGTTGTGTAAGTCCAATGAGATGATATTTGCAAATGTTAACCCCTTATAAATGATGTTATTATTATTCTAGGCATAGGTCTAGAATTGGAGGGGGCATCTGAGGACATCTGGTTCAAATCTTTCCTTCAAGGTCACATGGGGAGTAAGTGGTAGTGCTGGGCATCGAGTCTGGCTCCTCTGACTCCAGGCACGAAGACCGTGGCCCGGAGAGGAAATGGGACTGGTCAGAGAACTGGACGCCAGGCTGGCCCCTGACCGCCGGGTCAGGGCTCCCTAAGCCAGCCCCTCCTCATTCTGGCCCCCCCCCCCCGCTTCTGTTAATTGTCTCCCATGTATCCTGTCTAGAGCTCCTTCCTACATATTTGTGTCCTTTTATCCACCATTAGACTGTAAGCTCCTTGAGGGCAGGGACCATCTTTTCCCTTTTTAGGTATTGCCACACAGCAGGTGCTCAATGAATGCTTATTGATTTAAACGTTAAGCAAATAAACAATAAACGAATAATCGATGGAAAAATCGATCGAGTTTTACAGGGGAAGAAACTGAGGCCCAGACACATGACTTGTCAGTCACCCAAAAGGCTGGTCCCCAGGGCAGCTGCGGCGCTTCCGCAGGGCTCCAGGGGGCGCTGTGGCGCAGCGCCACCTCCCCGCCCCGCCCCCACACGGGACTCCTCCTCTCCGGCGCTCAGGCTCACGTGAGAGACTTGGGCACGTGATCGAACCCGGCCTGCCGGCGAGGCGTCATGTGACAGGAGGCGACGGCAGCTGCAGCGGCTGTGCCATGGCGAAGGAGGGCGATGGGGAGCGAGCTCTGCTGGCGGCGGAGCCGGAGCTCTCGGAGCCCGGGCCTGGGGCCGGGACCGGAGCGCAGTCCGAGGCCGAGTCGGTGTCCGGGGCCGGGGCCTCCCCGCTGTCCGCGCTCTGCGACCCGGCCCACCTGGCGCACCGGATAGTGGCGCTGGCCTTCATGTGCTTGCTGGGCTTCGGTGAGTGGCCGGGGAGGGGAGCCGGGGCCCTTCCCTGCCTGCCCGGGGACTCCGGGGCGTCGAGGCGGGGCCTGGCCAGCTGGGGGGGGGGCGGCTTCGTGGCACCTCCGACCGGGGCCCCGTTCTGCGTCCTCTGGCAGGGCGAGAAGGGGAAGGGGGCGAGAGCCCCGTCAGAAGGTGCCCGGGGTCGAGACGGGGAGGGGGCGGGGGCCTGGCGAGGACCGGGGGTCTGCGGGTGCTGGTGGGGATGCACCCCGGCGTGGGCGAGGAGGGGGTCCTGGGGGTCAGGATAGACCCCGAAGGGGGCCGTGGATGGAGACTCGGGGGTGGAGAGACTCCCAGACGAGGGGAAGGAGAACGCGGGGCCGCTCGGGGTCCCCGAGGCCCCCGGCTGGGCCTGGGGCGCCGGGGGATGGAAGGGGCGGCTCGGCCGTCAGTCGCCTCCCTGAGCGTCTCTTCGCCGCCGCCTCCGCCTGTGCACGGCCCACCCGGCCTGTCCTTCCAGCCTGGGCGCCGGTCCGTGGCGCAGACTCCCATGCCTGAGAGCTGAGCCCTTCCAGGGCGTGTAAACCGAGACTCTGTGTATCGCGCGTTCAGCTGGGCTTCTGTTCTCTCTAGGCAGCTATTTCTGCTATGACAATCCCGCTGCTCTCCAGATCCAGATTCAGGAGGTAAGCCCCATTCTCACCTTTCTCCTTCCCTTGGAGACCCTCATAACTCTTATGTGTGCCTTCCACAGTGACAGTTGAGGTTAGTTTGCTTTTGTAGTCCTCAAATCAAAGAGAGGTAAAGGTGTGTGGAGGTTGGGAGTCCCAAGCTGTTCTGGAGCCCTCAGAGAACGAAAATCAGGTTTACAGATACATTCTCTGATTTATAACATGTCTTAAAGAATCCCCATTATCCCCTAAGAAGTCATGTGAAGAGTTAAACTGATTTGAAATGTTGGTAGTACTTGTCAGATCAAACCACAAGCTGTCTCTTGATTTTATCTAAAAGCCACTTAACCCTGTTTGTGGAGAGGAGACTGGGATGGATGGTTTTTCTGTTGTATTAAAGGTGAGACTGGTTTGAGTGTGTTTCAGTAGAAAGACCCTGTCTGTGTTAATACAAGGGAGTCAGAGAATGGAGAGCAGAGCAGCCTTCCGTATTTGTGTCGTCTCTGCCTTAAGGGTGAGTGGGGTGGGAGGGGAGCGCAGCATAGCACAGGCCTGTGCAGCCTGCTTATGGCCCACGGGCATGCCGAAGGATTTCGGGCAGCCTGAGAAAAAATGTGGAGGATGCTCCTGAAATCCTTTGGTCTGCAGATGCTGCGGTTTGCTGTTGTCCGAGTTATGATGGGTGCTGGTGTCCACGTTTATCAACATATTAAAATCCATGAGTGACTCATGCATTGGCCACAGGTAGGGACTGGTTTTCACTCTTCAGGTGAAATTTATTAGTCCCTACTTAGGATCATAAAATCTGTAATTGATGGATCTGGACTGACTTAACAGAGACTGATTTCAAGACGAAGAGACCCAGAGGCCAGAGAACTTAGTGACTGAGCTGGAATTTGAAGCCAGACCTGGGTCTTCTGATCAAATGTTCTTTTCCATTGACCACGTTTGATTTGGAGAACTTTGAGAGTGTGTGTGGGGTCTTCCTTGGCCAGTGGAGAATCCTTGTGGAGATTTTCTTTGAGGGGCTGATGGGGAAGAAGGATGGAGGCATGGCATTTTTTACAAATACCTATGCCAGAGGTTTTTGGTAGGTAATTGCTTTGAGGTTAGAAGTTGCATTGGAACAGATATATGGCAAATTATGAAATTCTAACTGAATGCACTACTTAAAAACCTCTTTTGTTCTGTGTTTGTGTAATAATAGCTGGTGTTTATATATTGCTTCAAGGTTTGTAAAAAGCTTTATAGTGTACACAGGGACCCCTTCCACGTCATGACTTTCCCCATCACGGTTTCACTATATCACAGGTTGGCATAAGAAATTAAATGGGAATTTTTGGGGAGTGTTGTGGAAGCCGCAGACAGCGCACAAAGTCCAGGAGATGACGCAGAAAAAGTTTAGAAACTCAGAAAAGCGTAAAATATATGTATAGTATTGTATAATATTAACATATTTTATCTTTTAATACCATAATAATTCAGGCTTCCTTTCTGGTACAAATGGAAGAAGCAAAACATTTCATGTGGATTTTCTAGATTGTGGGGACACTGCGCCCCTAACTCCTGTGATGTGGAAGGGATAACTGTACACACATGTGTGTGTATGTATATATATGTGTAAACATGTATGTATGTGTGTGTATGTGTATGTATGTCTGATTTAATTCTCACAACAACCTTGTGAAATAGGTTCTATTAATAGCCTCATTTTGCAGATCAGGAAACTGAGGCTGAAAGAATAAGTGACTTGCTCAGGGTCACTCAACTAGTCAATGTCTCAGGCAGCATTTGAACTCAGTGCTTTAACCACTGGGCTATTTAATTTCCTATCATATCTTTATATTTGTCATAATTTTGCTGCTCATTTGTAATTTTCCTGACACATTTGAATACTTCATTCACTATTTGTCTCTTGCAAGTTTAAATGGAGTAAAATGATTGTTTTTCTGCTTTTTCCCAGATTATTTATATTTTTCATGGAAATTTGACTTTTGTATAGGGAAAGATCCATGGTCTGGGCCTTTAGGAGAGGATGAACCTCTTCACTTGTGGCTGGAACACTGTGGGAGATGTTTCTCTATGCAGAAAAGTGAGATGGTCATGACCTGTTTGTGGCCAAGCTGTAGCCTACAGTGTAACTGATGATGATTTTTTACATCTTTTCTGTCTAGGATATGCAGATACACACTGTGACCTTCATGCTTCTGTACTCCTGGTACTCTTGGCCCAATGTCATTCTTTGTTTCTTTGGTGGCTTTCTGATAGATCGAGTGTTTGGAATCCGGTGAGTAGCACGCTGGCCGAAGAGGTTAATAGCCTGTCACAGTGGTGATTGATGCGATTCAGGCTTTTCTGAAGAGTCATCAGGGCTGTATTCAGAACTGGTCGGTTTATGGTTTCATTGTGTTTCTCTGGAGTGGGTTCTGAGTCTTTACTGTTTGTTTCCTAAAGTGGTTGAAGGTAAGTTAATGCTCACTTTTATACTTGCAGAAGACATTGCTGCTGAGGAGTTATCCTTACTCACTTAGTGAACAGATTACGTGGTGTGTACTTTGTCTAGGGGGGTGGCTGCCTTTTTCCTTCTACATTTGCTTTTTCTTGAGTAGTCATTATTACATTTCTATCAGAAGATGAGCGAGGGAAGGAGAGAGCATGAAATTCCAGTCAACCAGTTTTGCCAGTTTTTAGATCTGGACAAAATATGGGGGGAAGGTTGATGCCACTTAACAGATTTCTTTTAACCCATATTTTTGCATTTTATTTGTGTTGATGAAGAGACTGGATAAGCCAGCACTGGCTGTAAGTTAGAGCCAAAGGTCGACATAACGTGATATTTCAATGTCATCAAAGGTTGTGTGACTGTTACAGAGTTTTGGGGTTACTTGGTTAACAAGCCTACCACTGTTATTACTACACATATGTTGCAGTGTGTGTGGTACTGGTCAGTGGAAACTTTTTCAATTTTCATCATTTTATTTAAGAAGTTAAGGTGAATTAAATTAAAATTTGCTGTTCTTGAATCCTTTGGAATTTTCTGGAGAAATTTTTAAGTATTTAAAATCACTGGTGTTTCTTCGAGAGAGTGGGAAGATTGTCAGCAGTGAAAATTGAATTGAATTTTATAGACATCTTGGTTATTGGATTATAGTAATTTGTTCTGAACTCTTTCTTTCTAGGTGGGGCTCCATTATATTTAGCCTCATGGTTTGTATTGGACAGGTAAGGAGGACTTGGTGAGGCTTTGGAATTCTTGCCTGAATCAATGAATTTTTAGAATATCGTGAATACTCTTATACCTAGCTAGATGTGAGGTGTGGGTACAGGCCCTGAAGTAGTTGAGCCGAGTTCTGTATCTGTCAAATCTGCCTTCAGACTGGGGGGTCAGTCTGGTATTTTGCTGTTTGAGTTATCGCAGTCCATTTCCTTTGGGTCAGCAGGGCCTGGCCACGGGCTGGGTTTCTGGTCAGGTTTGCCTTTGACACCAGCCATGTGAGTCTGGCAGGCTGCTTCGACTCTCTGCCTTGGGGAGTTTCCTAGGACTTGGCTGCTAAGATGGTTGTGATAGACACTTGTGGTCCTGTAGAGGCGGGGGCATTTCTTCACTCTGTGTGCTGCGGGTGGGCACCTGTGCGTGTTCGTGGATCGCTAAGGAATGTTTGCATTACAGGTCATTTTTGCCATGGGTGCCCTGGTCAATGCTTTTTGGCTGATGCAGTTGGGGAGATTTGTATTTGGGTAAGTTAAAGAGCATTTCATTTATTCCTTAGTGGCTAATTATAACTTTCCCTTTTTACATTTGTCCGTTTATTTTCTTTGAATTATATAAAGCACATAAACTTACCCACCAAGAAGGTCTTGAAGACCAACACGACCCCTGTAAATCCCCGCCCCTTTTTTCTTAAAGAATAGGTGAAGTATTGCTGTGACTGCTTATGATATGGAGTGTGAACATAAAGAAAATCTTGGAGTTGTTGCCCCTGCCCTGGTTGCAGTTAGCCATCTCTTCCTGCTAGAGATTTTATTGTACTGTCATGAGGCAGGAAGGTATTAAGCCTTATTTGGAAGCCCAGTCCATTTGATTATAGCCTGGTCGTTCACTGGGATTCACATGCAGGGGTATTTGGTAAAGGGCTCCATCCTACGGATTGGAGGTCTCTATATTCCAAGATCATTGGAGGGATTAGTTGAGTTTGCACTTTTATTTTATTTTATTCATTCATTCATTCATTTATTTTATTATTTATTTCATTCATTCATTCATTCATTCATTCATTCATTCATTCATTCATTTTTAGGCAGTTGGGGTTAAGTGACTTGCCCAGGGTCACACAGCTAGTAAATTTCAAGTGTTTGATCTGTGGCCAGATTTGAACTCAGGTCCTCCTGACTCCAGGGCCAGTGCTCTATCCACTGTGCCACCTAGCTTCCCCTGCGTTTGCATTTTTAAAAGCCTGCGTGTACCCAGCACTGGCAGAGAGGTGGGAGGAGGAGGGTTCAATACCCGCTAGGCACCTACCATGTGCAAAGCCCTGTTCAGACGTACACAGACAAAAAAACGGAACAGGACCTGCCCCCAAGGAGCTTATATTTTGCTGCAGATACGCCACCTGTCCGCATGTAAAGAAGAGGATTTTGCCAGCATGGGAAACGGTGTGTGGGAGTTCTCTTCACCAGTGTGCCATCTTGTCTGTGGCTTCGTAGAGCATTGCGTGATACACAGAGAGGGACCAGCCCAGGACCCCAGAGCTAGTGGGTGAGGGTAGCATTTAGACTCAGGGCTTCCCGACTCCCAGCACCACACTGACCTGCTCAGCTGCTTCTCTGAAACACGTGCACACATAAGGAAATACAAAAAAAATGGGGGTAAGCACGCTGTTCCACATGGAGGGAGCATTAGGAAAGGCTTCCCCTGAGGAGGGGGCCTGGCCTTGAGCACTGGTTCATGGGGCAGCGCGTGGCTCAGTAGCTGATTGAGCCAGAAGATGTCGAGGGGGTGGGGATGGAGTAAGATGAAGGGATGGAGGAGGGTGGCCCGTGGCCTTTCTGTGCCTTTGCTAGGCCAGGTGTACAAATGAGACAGACGATAAGTGACCAGAACAGTTCTAAGATTAGGTGAGGGAGTGAAATGATAGTGGAGGGAATGTGTCGGGGGGAGAAATTTAAAGGAAATGGCGGTTCATCATGAGGAGGAAGTTAGGGTGGGGTTGGATGAGACTTCAGAGGTCATTTAGTCCATACTCATTTCACAGACGAGAAAACTGAGGCCCAGTGGTGAGAAGTGACCTGCTTAAGGTAGCACAGGCAGGGAGTACATTTAATTGAATTTGGAAATGTTGGGGCAACATATAGGGTCCCCTACTTTTTTGTGATGAGGAGTTGATCTGTTCTTCCCTGAAGCTGTAGAATTTGGGGAGAGAACAGATTCACTGACACAGAAGGTTTGCTGATGAACCCCTGGGTAGAGGGGTGTGTTCTAACCTTGGGCCACATTTGTTACTAGCCTCTCAGGTGCTAGAGAGACCTCATGTTGGATAGCTGAGGTCAGTCATTGGTGCAGTGTGGCATGAAGGACTGAGTATAAGATAAATAGATCGCCAAGAATGTTGCTGATTGCCTGTGCCCGTAACAACAATGTCTGCTAGCTGGACGTGTGTGATTTCCTAGGCTAACTTATAGGGATTCAGGTGCCAGCAGTGCGTTAGGGGAGACCAGACAGTGCCCATGGGAGCCACTGTGTTTGGCCTCAGAACAAGAAAGAAAACAGAAGGGAAGAGAGAAGGAGTGACGTGGAGAGGAGGAGAGAGAAGAACATTTAAGGGTCTGGCCAGAGGTGGCAAAGACCAGTGAAGGTGATTGAGCTGAAGAATGAGCTGGCTGTTCTGTGTACTAAGGAGATTACTTTGGTAGGTATCATGGAATATATGTGCATTGCAGAAAGTCAGTCCATTAACAGCAGGAACACTTCAGTGCTGCAAAGCCAGGTGACTTCAACTTTCTGGTAGCCCTGGCTTTGGGGGACAGATCTGCAGGCCCAGGAAGAGCGCGTTGGTGGAGCAGGGCTTTGGGACTGGTAATGGCGAAAGGACAGAAAGGAAAGACTGGAGAGAGGGAATGAGAGACGTGAAGGCCTGGAGGAAGACCTGGGAGGGACGATGGAGTCATTGAGGAGCTGGAGTAGAAAGAGAGGGAGATCACCTCGAGTGTTGGAGGAGCAGTTTGCTGTCCTGCTTTCCTTGGTCCGCGTCGCTGTTTCCCGTCTCTCTTTCTGGGTCAGTACTTCTGGTTTTGGTCCTCCTCCTCCTTCATTACCCTGGACTATCACAGTGCCTCCTAAGTGTTCTGTTCCCAGCCTCTCCTTCAATTCATCCTTCACACATCTGCCAAAGTAATCTTCCAGTGCACAGGTCTCATCATTTTTCTGCTGAAGAATCATCATTAGGTCCCTGTTGCTTATCAAAAGACATATATATTCCTCAGCCTGGCTTTTATAAGTGATTCTCTATCACAGAGGTGTTGAACTGGGCCAGCAGAACTCCCCAGGGCAGAACTAGATGAAAGTGTAATTGGGAAGTGTTTAACAAAATAAATAAAAATACAGCACAACATAGATGATGTTTGGTCATCATGCTTTTCTGAGTAGATCTGTGCCCCTCTGCAGAGCCTGTCTCTTTGAGTTGACCCCACTGCTGCTGGCCTGCATGCTGCCCTTTCAGCTGTCCCCCAGTCTTGTTTCCTGTCTTCTTGTCTCTGCAGCACTGGTAGCCCTGCTCGAAATTATCTTCTGTTACATCTCTGCCCTTTGGAAATCTTTCTGTTCTAAGAAATCTTCTTTGAGATCAACCCTATTACTCTTTCCTCCTCACATCACTCCTGCGCCTGTCAGGATGTTTCTAATGCACTTAGGTTGTGATTTGTGGCCAGTGTAAGTGGACATTTACCTTAGCCTCGTTTTTACCTGCCCCATTCGTCTTTGTATTCCTAATACTTTACAAGATGCATTGCAATAGAGTTGGCACATGATAAATGTTGAATTGAATGATTGATTTTCGTTTTCTTTTTTTAGGATTGGTGGGGAGTCCTTAGCAGTTGCACAAAATACCTATGCTGTGAGTTGGTTTAAGGGCAAAGAATTAAACCTGGTATTTGGACTCCAACTTAGCATGGCTAGAATTGTGAGTAGGACAATACACTTCCGATCTATTGAATGTTTCGATGGCGACAGTATTTCACACACTTTTTGCTCTGATTAGGCTGTGTTGCTCAAGTAGACTAGGCAGTAAAGAAGTAGTTTTATTATCTTCTGTTCTTATTTAGGGTTTTATAGATAACACGGTGTGTGAGAGAGAGAGAGAGAGAGAGAGTGAGTGTGTTTCAATAAAGCTAGTAAATCATTAATAAATTTTTAATTTTTGTTTTGTTTGTTAAGTGTTATCTACACAAACACACATATGAAGCTATTAACATTTGGCTTATGAGAAATTTCTCTAGAAATTCTGCAGTATTTTAAGTAGTTACTTGCTGTAATGTTTCACCATTTTTCACATATATAAAACATTGTGCAATATGAAGCCATGCAGTGTTGGAGGGACCTTCCAGGTCATCATGCTTGGTACAGGAATTCCCCTGGTGACATTTCTGACTTAATTGTCTAATCTTTTGGATGAGAAGTTCTCTATTTTTGTGGTAATTTATTAAATTTTTCTTAACTGTTTTTAAGCATTTAATTTAATTGTTCAGCTTTTATTTAGTATTTTGTTTTTCCCCAGTTACACATAAAAGCAATTTGCAACATTCGTTTGTAAAACTTTGAGTTCCAAATTCTTTCTCTTCCTCCCTCCCCAACTCTGCCCCCCCAACCTCCCCCATTGAGAAAGCAAGCAGTTTGATATAGGTTATATGTAGCCATGCAAAACATATCCATAATAGTCATATTGTGAAAGAAAACATAGACCAAAAAAAACCAACTCAAGAAAAATAAAGAAAGTAAAAAAAATACGTCATTCTGTATTCAGACACCATCAGTTCTTTGTCTGGGGTTGGATAGCATTTGTCATCCTAAGTCCTTCCGAGTTGTCTTGGATCATTGTATGGCTGAGAATAGCTAGGTTATTCACAGTTAATCGTCTTACAATACTGCTGTTATTTTGTGCACAGGACATTTCACTTTGCTTCATCTTTCCGGGTTTTTCTGAGAACATCGTGCTCATCATTTCTTGGAGTACAGTTGTATGCCATCCTAATCACCCACCTCAACTTGTTTAATTGATGGACTTCCCCTCAATTTCTCATTCTTTACCCCCAGAAATGAGCTGCTATAAATATTTTTGTACATATAGGTTCTTTTCCTTTTTGTTTTTTCTCTTTTGGGATACAGACCTAGTAGTGGTATGGCTGGGTCAAAGGGTATGCTTTGGGCATAGTTCCAAATTGCTTTACGGAATGGTTGGATCAGTTCACAGTTCCACCAACAGTATATTAATGTCTCATTTTTCCCCACATCCCTTCCAACATTTGTCATTTTCCTTTGCTGTCCTATTAGTCTAATAGGCATGAGGTAGTACCTCAGAATTGTTTTAATTTGCATTTCTCCAATTAATAGTGACTTAGAGCATTTTTTTCATATGGCTATAGATAGCTTTAATTACTTTATCTGAAAACTGTTCATATCTTTTGATCATTTCTCAGTTGGGGAATGGCTCTTTCATAAATTTGACTCAGTTCTCTATATGTTTGAGAATGAGGCCTTCATCAGAGAAATTTGCTTCAAAAATTTTTTCACAGTTACTATTGCTAACTTTATGTTCCTTCATCCTATGCTTCCTCTCCCCCCATTTATTCTGTTCTTTTTCTCCTTTCATCCTGTCCCTCCTCAAACGTATTTTGCTTTTGACTGCTCTCTCCCCTCTTCTGTTTCCCCCTCCCCTTCCTTTTCTTATCCCCTCCCTTCCTACTTTCCTGTAGAGTAAGATAGATTTCTGTACCAATGGAGTGTGCTATTTGACATTATTATCTGTTACTGAGATAGTGGCAGGAGAGGGGCTTGTCGGATTTGTAGGTGGCACAAAAGTAGTAGTAACATGGTAGTCAGGTTCCCAAAAGATCTTGTTGGGCTTGACTCTGGGACCTGGTCTAATAATATGAAATTTAAGAGTTAAATCTAAAGTCTTTTATGCTTGGGTTAAAAAAAAATCACCTTCACATTCAGCAGTTTGATGTAGTCACCAAGAGGCCAGAGTAATTGATGGCTTCATGAGCAGCCTCGTGTCCAAGCCTAGGGAGGTGATGGTCCTTTGGGGCCCTGCCCTGGTTATTAGGTGCAGTTCTGGGGGCCACAGTTTAAGAAGAGCATGGATAAATCCCTAGCATCCAGGGAGGGCGGCAGGATAAAAATGGTGGCCTTGAGATGATGCCATGGGGGAATTACTCAACATGTACCAGCAGGGGGCAGCCTGGAAGAGAATGGCCTTGAGGCCCTGTCTCCTGCCTTCTGGTAGTAGAAAGAGTTCCCCTGGAGGAGGGTCCAGCCTCATTCTGCTCAGCCCCTCAGGGCTGAGCGGCAGGCGCCAGGTGGCATTGCAGAGAGTCCAGTTGAAGAGTGATGTGAGGAACCTTGGAGTGACCAGCAGTGGCCTGGCCTCGGGCTGCCTCTCACTGGCTGACCACTTGTGGAGCGTCTTGGAGAGCATCCTTCCTCGTTCAGCTTCGGGTCCTTGTGACTCTTCCTCTGCTCTTGGAGGAACTATTCCCTAGGCCTCTGCACTGGGAGCTGGCCGGGACGTTGGAGGCGCCCCCCCCCCCCGGTCCTACCTCCTCCTCCTCTGGCTGTGGAAACCACAGCTTAGAGGAGGGATCCCCCAGGTGGGCCGGGCCTCCAGAGCTCTGGGCCCTCGGCCAAGTTTGAGAGTGTGTTGTTTTCTCTTTAATTGTTGGTGCCTTTTACATCACACTTACTTTTTCCATAGTTTTGTAATTTTATTGGGACCTTTTCCTCTTTTCCTTTAAGGTTTAAGTTTAAGAGTACCAATTTTCTTCCCAATCACGAGCTTCATAATATTTATAGAAAAAGCAGAAACAAAACCAAATTCCTTCTTGTGTCCTGACACAAACATCTCAGAAGCCTCCTCACAGGCCTCCAGCTAGCTCCCCAAGCCTTTCTTTTTAGGAAGTTGTGGCCTGCAGCCCAAGGAGGAAGAGACCTTGGAAATCATGGAGATGAGCTCCTATTTTATAGATGAGGAAGCAGGCCCAGAGAAGCCCTGAGACAGAAAGTCCTGGCTAGGAAACACAGTGGCTACACAGAGCACAGGTGTTTTCCTGGCTGCTTTTTCTTTTTCTTCCTGAATCTGCCCTAATGTCCTTATTTCAGTAGAAATGGGCATTGGTTTTGCAGAGTCTTGGCAGACTCTAACACCTTTTTTGTGCTCTCTTGGAAGAGGGTATCCCTGCATTAAGTCAGGCACAGGGTCTTCTGTAGCGGGCAGCGAGGTGGCTCAGTGGGTAGGATGCTAGGCCTGGAGTCAGGAAGACATGAGTTCAGATCTAGCCTCAGACACTTAACCAGCTATGTGACCTTGAGCGAGTCACCTTACCTCTGTTTGCCTCAGTTTACTCATCTGTAAAATGAGCTGGAGAAGGACACGGCAAACCGCTCCAATATCTTTGCCAAGAAAACCTCAGATGGGGTCACGAAGAGTTGGACATGGCTGAAATGAGTGAACGACAACAGGGCCCTCTGTGCCCCAGAGCGGCCTCTCTCCAAGCAGTGTTTCGGAACACAGTGGGGTGTGCACACACATGTGTGCGCGCGCGTGTGTGTGTGTGTGTGTGTGTGTTTTTGGAGGGAGGTAAATTCTTGTGGGTGTCTCACTGCTTCCTCTCTATGAAGAATCTCATTTCTTTGTCCAGCTCAGTGCAGAGCAGAGGTGTCTAACACCTGCCTGAAATATTTAGTAAAATAAAACTACAAGAAGGCAGAGAGATAAATTAACCTTTTAGAACTCCGTGGCCTGTGGCCCTGGCTGGGTCCTTGGGCAGGGTTTGGTGACCTTTCCCTCCCCTCTTCCTAGCCCGCATTTGAGTGGATGCTCCTGGCCCAGGGGTCCTTCTCTGTTCTGCGTTAGGGTTGTTCTTTTGCCCTCCCAGCTGTAAGGACTAAGTGACTTTCTCTTTCCTTGGAATCCTTTTCTCTGTGTCCTCTTCCAGTGTGACTGCTCTGTCCTGCCCAGCCTCTCCAGAGTTGAGGGCAGGGCCATTCTGGGGACCCTCTTGTTTTCTCTTCTCCCAGAGAGACCAGCTTGTGTTTCTAAGACCTGTTTGGCAACTGCCTCAGGCAGGAACACAGACAAAGCAAGTAACCTCTAAAGCATAGAAGCAGTTTTCTCAGTGTCTGTGCCCTGAGCCCCTTTGTAGATTCCCCTTCAGAAAACATGAGGACCCCCTTCCCCTTCCCCCCACCCCCCTTGCCAAACATGTCTCTTGTTGGGCTCCTGGTTATTTGGAGGCTCTTGAGAATAGTGTCTGTTGTCCAGCTGGCCTGGCTAATCCTCCTGTTTCATGTGTGTCTGAAGACGTGGTTATTGTTAATGATTGATAACATGTAGTGCAATGTGTGGACAAGTGGGAGGAGAGGGGACGTGTGTTCAGAAGCGGGGGCTGTGGCTGAGGCTGGGGGATTGCTCGAGCTGGGAGTTCCGAGCTGGAATGGGATAAGCTGATTGGGTGTCTGTGCCAAGTTTGACATTAATGTCTGTGGTGGACCCCTGGGAGAGGGTGGGTTAGCGCAGGTGGGAAATGGTGGCATGGCCTGGGCCTGGGTGGCACCCCTGCCTCACCGAGAGGGGGGACCCAGTCTTTAAAAAAGAAAGGACAGGCTCAAAGCTTGTTTTGGCACCGTGAGCTGCCCTTCATTGTAGACCCCTCGAATGCGTTCTTTGACTGGGGGCAAGAGCAGTAGTTTCTGTCGTGGCATTCATAGCATGGGGTCGAAATTGAGGGAGGCTGGCTTTGTTCTTGTCCTTGGGAGCTTCCAGTCTCAGGCAGCTTTATTGAAGGAGGATTTGTGGAAGAGTCATAGTGCACACATTTCACACAGGCAGCAATATCACTTTGCAGCAGGCTCTCGCTGCTGCCATGCTTACATCTTAATTTTTTCATCCCAATGAGTCGACAAAGATAAGCTTTTTAATAGGATGGCTTCTTTTGTAATGCATTTCTTTCATTCCTTCAGAAACAATGGCCCCGAGAAACATTATTGTATTTAGTCATAATTATTTGGTGAATGCAAACTAGCAGCAGCCCATTATAATGTGGCTTTTCCGAGGGATGCAGACAGAGTGCTAGTCACATAATGTCCCTGGAAACCCCTCTTAGCCTGGAGGGGAGGGCTTCCTGTCATTTTTCTGTTCCAGCCCATTTTGCAGCTTAACCATTTGTAAGAGGAGACCCGACTTCATTGGGCATAGGCACTTTTTCTCTAAGATGAGGCTGACTTGTAGCTCTTTGTTCAGTGAGCACATTGGGTTTTAGCATCAGCAGCAGAATCATTGGACACTTGCTGTTTGTTTGCTTTAATCCCCTTGTGTGAATATTTCCACTTTGATGCAGTACAAACATTTGTCATTTGCTAGTTTCTATTATCGGGGCAGGCCAGGGGGGCGTTTTTCTCAATAACCTTTAAAAAGACCTAGAATGAAGTGTGTTTCTTTTATTTTTAATCCTCCCCAAACTTACCCCTCCAAAGTGTGCTTGGAAGAGAAATCAGAAATATTCATCACTGCTTTTATGGTTTAGCAGAACCTTAATTTGCTCCCGTTTCCTCTTCTGTATTTTTAAAGGCTAGTATGACTGAAGACTCCAATGTGCTTCTTTTCATCTTTTAGGGGAGTACAGTAAATCTGAATGTTATGGGATGGCTGTATTCCAGGGTTGAAGGCTTGCTTGGTTACTCTGGTCACACGACACTTGGCATCACACTTATGATTGGTTAGTGAATCTTTGTCACTTCAAGAACGTAGCAGAGGGGGTGCCGTTGGGGACATGAGAACATACAAGGTCTACGCTGCTCCTGCCACTTCCTCACCGTATGACTAGAGAGAAGTTGGCCAGCTCTCTGACCTGTGTTTCCTCATCTGCACAGTGGAACTCGTAATCCTGGCTTTGTCTCACTTGAGGGGCTTCTGAGAAGTAAGGGATGGGCATTCCAGTATGTCCTTCCATCAGTTTCAGGTGTCCCAGAGATGGTTGGGGTCATAACATGGGGGAGGGGGTGTATACAGCAAAGTACTTTCTTTGGGGATCAGTGACTTTCACTTTCCAGTAGGCTGACACAGCAGACTGACTGTGCTCTCTCCCCAGAGGGTAACTGTTTTCTCCAGCCCCAAATGGTGCAGGTTTTTTGGCAGTGAAGGGAAGTACTGGAGTGGACAGCCATACTGATGCTTTAAATTAAACCTGCTAAAAGATTTGCTAAGAGGAGTTATTCTAAGGAGGCAGGCAAAGCTTGGATGTTATTCTGACCTTAAACCTCTAAAAACCATCTCGCTCTCCCATGTAGATTACCAGTTGGAGATGCTTTGGGGCCTAGCAAAGCTCTTGGGGACAGTTGACCCTCATTCATTCCTTTACTTCAGTCCCTAGCTCTCCCCACTGTGCTCAGGAAATGGGCATTTTGATTGGAGGTAGAAGGCAGGTCCGGGCTGGCTGGAGGTGTTTCCTCAGTGTAGTGAGGACTCCTAGTGGGGCAGCTGGGCTGGAGAGGCGAGTTCAGAGGTGACCAGAGAAAGGCAGTGAAGGATGGCTTGGCTTGCTTTGCTTTTACTCACATTATCAGTCATCATTAAAGGTGAAGGGGTTGAGCCTGACGCTTACCTGGTGAAGCCTGCTAGTCTTTAGCAGGCTACAGCCCCAGATCTAGTGGGGCTTCCCTAGCTCCTTCAGTTTGGCTGTTCAGACCCTTCTAGAATGATGGGGAGCTTCCTGTTGGAAGGATGGTTAGTAGTGATTCCCTCAAAGCCCGGGGTTTCCTTTATGAAAGTCTAGCCCTGCTTTTAGGTACTTGACAATCTAGTCTGCAGATTTAAATTCTTGGCTTTTATTTCAGGGGGTGTAACATGTATCTTTTCACTCATCTGTGCGTTGATTCTTGGCTACTTGGACTGGAGAGCTGAGCGAATCCTTCATAAAGAACAGGGAAAGACTGGTAAGCCGTGAACTCTGTATTTGGAGATTATCAATGGAGATTTTTTGGGGGAGGCTGCTGAGTGGACTGCCCAAATTGGGGGCTTAATAAATGATGGATTTTTGGTTTTCACTTCCAAAATTTATTTCCTGTTGTCTAAATTTAAACATTGATGTTTTTCTTTCAAACCTGATTTAAAACATTATTTATTAAGCTTTGTGTTTTTTAGAAATAGAATATTTGTAAAAAAAATTATTGCAAAGGGGATAACCTCACTTGAACATTTCAGCTTCTCAGGCTGCCTATATGCATTTGAATCATTCCACCATATTCTGTTAGTAATTTACTTGGGCTCAGAGATGATTTAACTTCATGTGAAACTCAGCTAAATTATGAAAGAAGTAAAATCCTAATGGTAGAAGAAAACTCATTATCCTTATTCTTGTTCCTCCAGGGGAAGTTATCAAATTGACAGACATGAAGGACTTCTCCTTATCCCTGTGGCTTATATTTGTGATTTGTGCGTGTTACTATGTGGCCGTGTTCCCTTTTATTGGACTTGGCAAGTAAGCATGTTGGCCCCCTCGTGGGAGCGCCAGGCCCTCGGTTTGTGCTCTTGGATTGGACACACACAATACTTCCATGGGAAATCTTGCATTCTTAGATGTGGGTTATACACTTAGCTTGTGGAAAAAAGTGAAGATAAAAAAAAATGCAAGTACCTGTTTGATGTGTAAATGATTTTGTTAGCCTTGGGTTAGTGTTTGCAGGTAATTTTGAGAAAACCCTTTGTGACAGTGACTGGCATAATTGATTCTGTTTAAATCTTAACTTCAGACTTTGTATGTCACTTCTGTAGCTAGGAAGACTGCCACATTCAGCATTAATTAAATTAAACACCTTATTGTCACGGGCCTACTTTGTCCAGTGTTCTAGAAATGCAAAGATGAGCCAGAATGCCCCCCCTTCCTGCTCCAGGCAGCTTCTAACAGGTGGGGAGCCTGTGGCCTTCAAAATCCTTAAGTGCGGCCTTTGGACTGAATCCGAATTTTACAAAACAAATTCTGTAAATTTGGATTCAGTTAGAAGGCCGCATTTGAGGATCTGGAAGGCCACATGTGGCCTCAGGGCTGCAGGTTCTCCACCCTTGTAACAACCCTTTCCCATTAAATGGTCTCACCAATGACTTTGATGGGTCAGGAGGGGGTGAGTTCCAAAGTGAATCCCAGGGAAAAATGCTGTGAAAAACTTGGAGTTGACGGCACTTTCAGCCGGGCTGGGAGCAGGGAAGATGGGCTGGCCTGGCTGGACATTTGTTTGACCAGAGCTGCAGCTTCTTCGTCCTGTCTGGTCTTCCTAAGTTTCTCTCACATCCTCATCTACCAGAACAGAGCAACTTTTGAACTTGTGACTATTGCATTTACATTATGGTTTAAAATAATTTCCTACAAAGGTTGATGTCATTATGAAGTAGAGAACCCAATTAGTGCAGTCATTTGAATGTTAAATTCTTCTTTTTTGAAAATTTACAACTAATGTTTCAGAAGTGGTCAGGGAATTAATCGGAGTTTGTTTAATTCAGATAATTAGGTGTCACCCAAGTTTAGCCTATAGATTTCAGAATTCATATTCAGTAGGCTCTGAAGACAGCCTCATTTTAAGCCAGTTTAGGAGCACAGGCTCATGGAGTTTGAGATGGAAGGAGCTGGGAAAGGCCTTGGTGTGAGGCCCTGAAGCCAAGCAAGGCGAGTGACTTGTTGGCCCAACCCAGCGGGAGGTGGGAAGGGGCAGCGCTGGCCATTGGCACCCCTTGGGTGCCCCTCTGCCTCAACCTCAAGTGTCATCACATAGAAAACTTGTTATTATTCTAGTCTGACTTTTTTGACAAATGAAGCCTTTTCTAAAAAATGCTGTTTTCTATTTCTCTTTCCCAACTCCTTTCAATTTTAGGGTCTTCTTTATGGGGAAATTTAAAGTATCCACAGAAGAAGCAAGTGCAATTAACAGGTATTGAATCAATCAGACATCTGTTAGTGCTAATGTTGGTGGTTATAGGGTGTGCAAGAACAGTGTGAAAAAACATGAGAGCATTTATTGCTTTTTTAGGCTGAATAGTGTATGACACCCAGTAGTAGTGAGGACTGAGGTGATCCAGCTGTCCCTGGGGCCACCTGCAGAGCCTCGCAGCCCTGGGGAGAGGTGTGTGTGAGTGCGTGCATGCACTGTCTGTTTGGTGGGCTTGGGGGTTGCCGAGGAACTTCTGACGTGTGCCTGTGGTTGATTTCAGAGCAGGTAAAGTGGAGATGTGCTTTGTTTGGCTTAGGGTGAGAAGTGTTTCTATTGCCTTTGATTCATTAGGTATATTGTATTTTCTTCCACCCTCTCTCCTGTTGTGTTAGTATCGTGTACGTCCTCTCCGCTCCTCTGTCTCCCATCTTTGGGCTGATGGTGGACAAAGCAGGCCGAAACATCTTCTGGGTTCTGTGTGCAGTCGTGGCCACCATGGCTTCCCACGTAATGCTGGCATTTACCTTCTGGAATCCGTGGATCGCCATGGTAAAGTGTGAGCCCTGGGGTGATGCTTTCTGATTTCTGTAGGAACCTTTATAACTGGGTCAGAGCGAGATGGACTGGCTGTAGAAGGGCCTGCTCAGCAGTGTCTGTGTGAGCAGTGATTTCAGCTGAGGGATGAATACTTGGTTTCCTTTCTGTGTGATCTGGTCTCTGCAGAGGGCTCCCCACAGCCCACAGTCCTTTTCCTCTTCTCTGTGGATGAGCAGACTCCCCACGAAGGCTTTTCGCCCATCTTCTCACGTCTCCCACTCTGTCCATTCCCTGTCAGCTCAGGACTTCACCTCGTGCTTAACTAAGAGACAAGAGAAGCTTTGTCATGAGCTCCTCCTCCTCCTCCTCCACTTTTCCTAGTCTTGGTAACTGCAGTGCCTGGCACAATGTCTGGCACATGGGGTCTTCATAAATGCCCATCAGGTTCCTTTTTGCTTCGTGTAAAATTTATTATATCGAAATGTGAAATTTTCTTTTATATTTGTCTACCCAGTTAAGGATATGTTCCAAAGAATAATCCTGAGCAGCCAGATGGCTCAGTGAACACAGTGCTGGGCCTGGAGTCAGGAAGACCTGAGTTCACATCTGGTAACTTGCTGGATGTCTCACTGTGGGCAGGTCATTTACCTGTGTCTGCTGCAGTTTCCTCATCTGCCCAAATGGAAATAGTAATAGCACTTACCTCTCCTGGTTGTCGTGAAGATCAGATGAGTTCCTAAGTGTTAAGCACATAGCACAGTGCCTGGCACATAACAAGCACTCCATGAATGTTAGCCACCACCACCACCACCACCACCACCACCACCACCATCATTGTTATTAGCTGTAGTGAAGTGGAGGGGAAACAGCATTTTAACCTTTCATAGGCCTATATCTTTGCCTTGTGAGAAGTGGTAAAAGTCATGGGATGCAACTCAAAAGAGCATTAAATTGTCTGTTCTGTCATTTGTTATCAGTGGGTCCAAACGATCTCTTTGACTTTGAGGTGGGGCTTTTATGTGGATCCCGGTGTTTTTAGAGCAAGGAGGCTGAAGCGTTGGATTCTGAAATGTTAAGGCAGTAGTATAGTTAATACCAGGTCTTCTATATGGGCCTCCACTCAGTGAGAGCTACTTTAAATTTTGCTTCAGGTTGAAAATAAGAGTCTTATTTAGATGAAAGAACGACTCCGTTCTTAGCTTCAGTCTTTGTGCTTGTGGAGGAGACCTGAGGTGACTGTCTTTTCTTAATCACTTGCTTAGAGCCTGGTGCTGGTAATTCATAGGTAGCTCCAGCCTCCACATAGACCCAGTCAGCACGCTCAGTTGCTTAGCAGTAGGCTTGCCTCCAGCCCTCGGTCAGCCCCTTTGGTGGTGCCGAAGGGGGAAGCTGTGTGGATGTCAGAGGAAATCCATCACGCTGCTAGGAATTCACAATTCCTGTGTTACTGACAGTGAGCTAAACCACCACTTCTGGGCTGAAGAGGGTGACAGGTCTTTACGATATGTTCTCACATGCTTTTTCATACAGATGTGGTCTCGGTCTCAGATTATGCGCACGTGGCTTCTTTATAATGTGAATTTTGAAACGTCAGCTGGCTTTTAGTCTTGTCTTTTCTGGCTTGGAAGATGCCGCAGAGAGAAGCAGAAGCCTGTTTCTGAACGTCTGGGTTTAAAGGCTCTTTTTCTGTTGCTGTTTCCCACAGTGTCTCCTTGGAATCTCCTATTCCCTCCTTGCCTGTGCATTGTGGCCAATGGTGGCTTTTGTTGTTCCAGAGCATCAGCTGGGGACGGCGTACGGCTTGTAAGTATCCATAGCACAGAGCCACGTCGGGGTTCTCTGGGGCCCGCTGCTGTACGCAGTTTGTGATGCGGGTCCTTGGATGGTTCATGACTCAGATGTCTGGCTGGTAGGAAGCAAACCGTCTCTTGCCACCCAAATCCCCAACCACGCGTGGCTGTGGCTGGTGCAACCCCAACATGCTACGAGAAGCCATGTCCCTGGACAGGAGGAATGGCCAGCTCTGGGTCAGGGAAGTCGATCAGGACCTCTCTATGTGCTTTCCAAGGCAGGGCGTCTCCGCGGCGGTGCCTGGGGCTCCCGAGTGCGTCTCTCGTTCACTGGCTGCTTGCCCGCCATTTTGGTGGAGCTGATGGGATGAGGCCAGTTGGATGATAGAGTCGGAGGGATGACTCTCTTCTGAAGATCCCATGTGGCATCTGCCTCACTGTACTTTCATGTCAGGGGCAAGAACCTGCAGCCTTCCAGAAAGCAGGCCCAGAACCAGTCCTTGGCGTCAGTATCACGCCTTTGGCCCCCCATCTTTACGCGTGTCTCGGTAGCCGATGTCCTTGATGACAATCCTGAGACATCTAAGAAAAAATGAAATTGTGGTCAGTATACTCTGATTAAGAAAGTGAGAAATAGAAATATTTCTGAATGTGTAATTCTTGGAAAATACCTTAAAAATGTTATTCACCCATTGTCGTTTATTTGTTCAGTCACGTCGACTCCTCCTGAGCCCATGGACTTGTCCATGGGGTTTCTTGGCAAGGCCGCTGGAGTGGTTTGCCATTTCCTTCTCCAGTGTGTCCCCATTTTATGATGAGGAACTGAGGCAAAGAGGGGTTAAGTGACTTGTCCGAGGTCACACAACTGAGGTCTCCCTGATTCCAAGCCCAGTGCTTTGTCTACTCTACCACCTAGCTGCCCCTTACTAACCCACAGCTCTCCTTAAAACCTGGCTACACAGGATTGTGAACTGCAGAGGTCTTACTGTATTGTGACAAAAGTGTCAGTTAAAAAGATATTTTTAAAAGTAGTCCATTTCATTGCAATATACGTTTGAATGGTGACTGTGTAAGTGCCTCTTTACATGCCAGCATGTTACATGCCAACACCCTGAGGAAGTAGCAGAGGTGGCCTGGCTGCCCTCTCTTCATGGTTAGAGCGTGCCTCTGCCTCCACACTTCCCTGAGGAGCAGGGCCCATCCTGCACTCCCTCTTTCACCCTAGGGCCTTCCTTCCTGGAGTCGTCAGGCCAGGTGCAGAAGACACACACACACACACACACGCACACACACACACACACACACACACACACACACACACACACACACACACATACACACACACAGAGACACAGACACACAGACACGGACATACACGCACACAAGGTGGGTGTCCAGAGCAGAGCTTGGGTGCCAAGCCGAGGCCTCGGGCCACATGTTTTCTGGGTTAGTTTTCCTGTTGTGCGGCGTGGTTCCCTTGAACTTCTATGTTGCTGTCAGTAGTGGTGTTGAATTGTTTGAGGGGCCTGCAGCAGACATGCTCCAGGGAGAAGGGAGCAGGTGATGTGAGGGCCATTCTCAGGCTTTCCTCATTAACCCTTTGGCCACAGACTCGTTGGGAAACCTCGCAGTGCATTGAAAGCTGCCATTCTTTACTCTCCTTCACTCAGACAGTCCGTGATCTGCATTAAGCCTTGCAGCTGTAGGTGACTGAAAAGGCTGCTGGCCGTGTCCCAGAAGTCATCCAGTTGGGCAGCAAGCATTTGTGAGGTGTTTGTGGGGCGCCAGGGAGGATGCTCAGCTCTGGGAATGGCGGACACACGAACGCAGCGCCTGCCCTCAAGGAGCTTACATCCTGATGGGGACAGCAGCGCGTGAAAGGAAGCTGACATGATGGAGAGTCTCAGTGCCGCCTGGCGAGGTGGAGAAAGTGGACGGCTGGGCTTGCGGAGGAGCCATTCTGTCAGAGGGGGCTTTACGCGAGATGAACTGGTCACATAGCCCAGGCTCGGGATGACAAACCACTGAGTGGCCCAGAGATTGCCTGGGAGCCACAGAATGTCAGGAGTCCCAAAGGAAGGCCTTCTGTGGTGGACTCCCCATGCTGAGGGGATAGGTGGAAATAGTTTACTGTTGATCATCAGGCTACTTAAACTTTATTTATTGTGTTAACAAATGTCCATGTTGGCGGTTTTGCACGTAAATAATAATTTTGAAGCGTCTGGGTGGAAAACTTACACATGTGAATTTTTGTTTCTTAGCATGCAGTCGATCCAGAATCTTGGCCTGGCCATAATGTCCATAGTTGCTGGGGAAGTATTGGATCTTTGGGGGTATTTCTTTTTGGAAGTATTCTTCATTGCCTGTGTTTCTGGTAAGTACTTGATAACAAGTATTTTTGGAGTCTTTTTTGGTCTCCTGATGGGCAGAGGAAGGTTTCGTTTGTCCCTGAGGCCAAACCCTAGGAAGTTATCCAATAGATGTGTTGAGATTTGTGGGCTCCAGTAGGATGCGGTGGAAAATGCACCTTAGGCAGGGTGGTTTGGAGACCTGGGATCTCGGACTTCCCTCTGTGATCTGGGGTATGGCTTCTTTAGCTTAAAAAAATGGCAGAGTTCCTTCTCAGACCCCGCAATCCTAGTCCTGAACTTCCAGTCAGCGTGCCGCAGAACAAGCGATTCTTAGCATGGGCTGGCAGCAGTTCTTGGTAAAACACCAAGAGAGACCCAGTGGCGGGACTCAGGAACAGGGCAGGGGAGGGCGTAGGGGTCTTGGCGCTTTGCCCTCTGTGGCGCTCACCTCAGCTCCTTGGGAAGCGGAGCCACTTTCTCTGCCCTTTGTATCTGAATCCCCAGGAGTTGTAGTGGGCTGCAGACTCGCTTTGTGATTCTAGGAATCACTGGGCTGCAACGTTTCCTTAAAAGATTTTCCCCCTTTTTTTCCCCTAGTTTCACTTCTAGCGGTGGTTTTGCTGTACTTGGTGGATTACACTCGAGGTAAGGTAATTAAGCTGCTCTCTTGATTCTGGGTGAAATTGGGGGGTGGGCAAGGATTTAGGACTGATTTAGTATTCAGTATCCTAGTGGCAGAAGTACGTTGAATTCAGTCTTGGTTTATAAATCTGTTCAGTGTTTTCAGAATTTGTGCCACTAATTGTTTTGTGAGTTTTGAGTGGCACTCTGAAGGTGATATTGAAACACAAGGCATTTCTGTAACAAGAGGCTTTTAAACCCTGGGTGCTGCTGTTTCAGATCATTTGAAATGGTGTCACTGTGCATGAGGATTCTTTTTATCCCCATAGTTTCTTCTGTCTTAGTTTCTGTATGTGCATTGCTAGAAGTTACATACTAGTGTTTTGGTTACTGCTTGGTGTGTACTGCCCGCCCTAAAATGTCACTGGTTCCATTCATTGCCAAATAAATCCCCTGGGATATATAATCTCCTTATCAGAAGTTACCGCAGTGGGGGTTGGGGACATGTTGGGGCATATGTACGTCTGAAAAGCTCTTTTCTTCTTTTCGCTCGTCTTTCCATTTTGAGTGGCGAATTAAAGAGAGGCGCATTCCCACCCCAGCTTTAACAAGAGGCACTCATTTGTTTCATGTTCTTCATTGTGTGAGAGGAACCATTTCACTCCCTAAAGGGTCTTCGTGGGGGCTCAGCACTTGTGTTTAGCATATGTTAATGGACTTGGTTTTATATGTTCCTATTCAGTCCTGCAAAAGAATACACACACATTTGTACACACTCAAGCCACAGACCAACTTTGTTCTTACACATACGCACACACAGTCTCACACATATTTACACATACACACAGAAATAACCTTTTGTAGGATTGAATACGTAAATATACGTACATATGTGCATATACATAGATATACACACTTGTGTGTTTGTTTGGTATAGTGGAGAGAACGCTGTGTTTGGGGTGGCCCCGGCTTCCAGGCCTGCCCTGGCCCTCCCTGGCTGTGTTTCCTGAGCTGTAATGAGGAGTCAGCCCTTCCCTTCTCACGGGGCACCTCCTGTGCTGCTGGGGGGAGCTGCGCCCCAGAGTGCTGGTCTGTGCCTTAATGAGCCTGCTTGTTTGTTGGTGTGAGCACTGACCTGACTGAGTCTTCCTCTCCCTTCTTGTGTTGTAGGAGGTAGCCTTAATTGTTCTGCCAGACAGAGGGTGGAGCTGTCAAAGATGACTGACACCAAGTAAGTGTTTGAAGGCCAGAAGTCTCAGTGAGTCCTCAACTTGTTAGCCTGTTAACAGTGGGCCAGGGCGTGGCTGATTAATTTTCTTGCTAACTCAGTAAAGACCCTCTTTTGCTTTGTCATGGATAGAGGAGTCTTGAAATGCTTTAATGTAGAGCAGCTTAGTAAGATGGAGCACCTGACCTTGTGCATTGGAGGGAAGTGGGGTGAGTCTGAGCCCCAGTGGTAGGTGTTCAAGAAGCTGTCTCAGACCTAGGTACCGATAAGAAGGGATGGAAGCTCTTTTCCTGCCGCCGCGTGTTGACGTGTAAGTGGTGATGGGCACAGACGGCCCTCGGGAAGGAGGTTGCCATTGGTGATCCTGCCCCAGCAATGGCGGCATCTTTGGATCATGGCTTCCCCGCTAACTCTGATTTGGGTGCTCAGTAATCCTGTGAGAGTCCCCTGGTTGGAAGCCATACCCATATCAGTAATCATTCCTTTCTCCTCGAGATAGAATGGATTTCATTGTAGTGAGGGTTACTACCTTACACGCCCAGCACCCCTTCTTTCCTAGAGGGAGGAGAAGGCTACAATCCTAGGATACCAGCTTTATCTGTCTTTCTCTTCTGGTGACTGTGTAAATGCTTCAGGGGTAAAAAGAAGACATTTTCTTTTATTCCAGACATTGCTAAATGATGTGCACATTTTACGTAACGTACTTTAGTTGATGTTAAAATGCTTTAAGATATCTTAACATAAAATTTAGGGCTCTTCTGGTTAGCCTGGCCTACTGAAGCCATTAGAAAAGTTCTGTTTCTGATTGAAAAGTCTATTGAATCTGAAGGGTGCGGGGTCCACTAGAGTTGGTTTTCTTTTCAAAATTGGCCCAAACAGATTTCGTGGTTTAAGGTCTGTGTTTCAGTTAACGTTGTATTTATTACTCAGCTGACTTTGGAGGTTGAAAGAAATTCCAGGTAGCAGCTTGTAAGACATTTCATTTTAATCCTTGAACGTCTAGAACCCTGTTTCATGGGTTGTCATAGCTAGAGCGTTCATCCTTGGGGCCAGCCCATTTGTGGTAGGCCTCCCTGAGTTAGCAAGGCTGGGCCTCATCTCTGGCTGGGATTGGCCTGAATGAAGCCTCCTGGCAGCTGGACACCCTGCCAGATCTTAGGGTCGTTTCTAGGCAGCTTTGATTGGTGCACCTCTGCTCTTCCTAAGAAGCTGTGATAATGGGTGAGATTGAGTGCTCTGGAGAGACCCTACCCGGGAAAGCCCGCTGGGTTAAGAACACTGCCGAGACTCCTCGGCACCAAGCGAAAGGAATGAGGCAGGGAGGGACAGCAAGACTGCCATCCCTTCAGAAAGTCTCTGTTCCCTCTCACTGGGAGGTGGTATTGTACAGCATCGATGATGGTAATGGTAATGTGAGCAGCGAGGGCATCCTGGGGCCTCTGTGTCCAACAGCCTGTAGGCCTGGAGGGAGTTGGGACGGAGCCCTGACCCTGTGTGCATGTGCATCGGGGCTTTGGGCGTTGCGGAGCAAGACAGAGAATTCCAGGACTGGACAGAATGGAAGTGGAGGCTGTGCTGTTTGGGACCCTTCTTGTAAGTCCTCAAGAGTCTCAGTCCTGCTTTCGTGCTCATGACTCATTTTCACGTGTGTTTGCAGATGAATTTGAAGAGCAGTCGTCACCAGAGAGGCAGCTGCCATCCTGTGCTTGGGAGAGCCGGACACTGGGAAGGAGGATGGTCTGGAAGGTGGAAAGTGGCCTTTTGGAAGGGGCCTTCTAGCGTGTGTTTAACAGCTTCTTTCCAGAGTTCTTTTCTCCAAGTATATTTCTGTAAGATTGTACATTATCTTAGATCATGTTTTTGTATGGTTTGCTGCAAAGGGGTCACCTTTACCTGCTTGCTAATAATTTATTTAGTGTCCAAGTCTGGCCAAATGCTCTGGAAAGCCTTGCTGCACTTTGCCAGGGTCAGTCAATGAAAGGGCACAAGACGGCCTCTGCTGAGGGGCTTTTTACTAGGTCATCTCATTTTTGTTTTTCCGGATCTGGACATTTGAGTAGGTTATCCTTTTTTAAACCCAAAACAAACAACCCAGCAGCCCCCAGCCAACCAAAAGAACCTTGGAGTTTTACCTCAAATAAAATGGAGTGTAAGCGGAAATGTGTATTTGCTTCTGTTTTTGTAATGGGGAACATGCAGGTGATAAAAGGTCTTTTATGTAGGGAAAATTCACTAATAATCACGACTAGATCTCCTTAGCTAGGTAGAGCTCTTTAAATTTCTTAACCTCTCTTTATCTTAGAGTAGTCCTGTTGGCAAAATATCTTTTACATTTTTGTAACGACTGAAACATGTCCTAATTAAGATGACGATTGTATACCTTTATACAAGTAGATAAAAAGTTACAAAAGGAAAATCCTATTTCTATTTTTATTGTAATAAATGTATAAGCAAGCATTTATTTTTATCTTTATGCTGTGACTAAATAATATTTCCATTCTTAATTAGAAATTAATAGATGATCCAGAACAAAGAAAATGTGGACAGATTACAGCCACTGAATTAATTTGGAAACAAATCTTTCCCTAGACTCATAACATTTATATTTTTAGCTTCTGTAGGAACAAAGTCTAAAGCCATCCTCAGTACTCCTCTACGAGCCTGGGGCCTGCTGTTGGTAAGTCAGATATTCAACTGTGGCAAGAGTTAATCACATTCTACAACAGGTAGAGGTGAAAGTTGTTTAAAATATTTATTTAAAGTGTTTAACATGAGAGGCAGCTAGGTGGTGCAGTGGATAGAGCTCCAGCCTTGGAGTCAGGAGGACCTGAGTTCACATCTGGCCTCAGACACATAACATTCCCTAGCTGTGTGACCCTGGGCAAGTCACTTACCCCCATTGTCTCAGGAAAAAAAATGTTTAACACGGTTGTAGTGTAGTTTCACTGCACCTGGTAACTTGGCTTATGTTTTACTCCTCTGCCGGTTAATTATACTTTCTAATAACATCTTGTTACAACTTATATGATCATTGCCAGTCCCAGAATTTGAGTTGGAAGGATCTTAGTTGGCTGTCCAGTCCAACCAAACACGAAAGCAGTCTCTGCTCTAATATCCCTGATAGGTGACCAAACTCCAAGAATGGGGGTCCTGCTCTACTGTGGGACAGTCTTAACTGTTAGATCATTTTTCTTAACATCAAAGGCTAAATTTCCCTCTTTACTTGTGGTCCTGTCCTCTGGGACCACACAGGACAACCCTCCACCTTCTCCTGAAGACAGCCTGTGTGTTATTTAATCCTGGCTAAACTGATATCCTCCAATGTCATGGACTCGGGGCCTTTCATCATCCTAGGTACCCCCCCTCTGGGCATTGTCCATGTTGTCCATGCCCTTGTGACACTGTGGTGCTCAGTGCTAGAGATGAGGTCTACAGAGAGTGGAGGACAGTGGGCCAGTCCCCTCCCTAGTTCTGGGAGCTCTGCCCCTCCAAATGCATCCGAGATCATAGACCTTTGTCAGGCTGTGGAACCACTCTGGGCCCATAGCTTGTGGTCCTCTGAACCCACAGATCTTCATGGTACTCGTTGTCTCACTGTGCCTCCCCAGTCTTATCCTTGTGAAAAATGGAACTGTCAACCCTCCCCTTCCCACCCACCCCCCGCTTGTAGTTTCATCTGTACAGGGAAGTTTTTCTGAGTAAGCTAGGATTTTGTTTCACCTATGTTTAAAAAATTATTTTAGTATAATTTTTTTTTTACCCATTTCCATGTTAAAAACAATTTTTAACGTTTAGTCTTTTTTTAAAGTCTTGAATTCCAAATTCTATCACATTCTCTTCACCCCCTCCCTGAGACAATAAGCAGTCTGATACAGGTATGCGTGTGTAATCATGTAAAACATTTCCATATTCGTCATTTTGTACAATAAACTCAAAGAGGGGCAGCTAGGTGGTGCAGTAGATAGAGCACCAGCCCTGAAGTCAGGAGAACCTGAGTTCAAATCTGGCCTCAGACCAAAACACTTGACACACTTACTAGCTGTGTGACCCTGGGCAAGTCGTTTAACCCCAATTGTCAAAAAAAAAAAAGAAACAACAAAAACTCAAAGAAAGAGGGTATGCTTTGGTCTGGGTTCAGACAACATCATTTCTTTCTCTGGAGATGGATAGCATTTTTCATCATGAGTCCTTTAGGACTGTCTTGGATCATTGGATTGCTGAGAATAGCTAAATCATATTCAGTTTTTCTTTGTACAACATTGCTGTTACTGTGCACAATGTCTTTCTGGTTCTGCTCACCTGACTTTGCATCAGTTCATGTAAGTTCAGTTTTTCTGAAACCATCCTGCTCATCATTTCTTATATTACAGTGGCGTCCTATGACAATCATATGCCACAACTTGGTCAGCCATTCCCCAATTGATGGGCACCCCTTTAATTTCTAGTTCTTTGTCACCATGAAAGGAGCTACTATAATTATTGTACATTTAGGGCCTTTTCTTTTTCTTTGATCTCTTTAGAGTAAAGACCTAGCAGTGGTATTTCTGGATCAAAAGGTATGGACAGTTCTGTAGCCCTTTGGGTATAGTGCCAAATTGTTCTCCAGAATGACTGGATCAGTTCACAACTCTGCCAACAGTGCATTAGTGTTCCATTTTCCCACATCCCCTCCAACAGCCACCATTTCCCTTCTTTGTCATATTAATAAGCTAGAATTTTTTTTAAAAAGCCAGATTTTACCAGTATCCATCAGTACCTGCCTTGCAACTTAGAGAGTTCTTTAGGGCCACATTTTTTCATTAAAAGAAAGAATTGCAAGGAACTCCTACATCTAGGATGTATTCTTCAAACTATGGTGAGCATTTTAAGAGCAGTAAACTTATCTTTGCTATTCTTTAAAATATACCATAACCCTCTCCCTCTTTTCTCCTCTCTCCTTCTTCCCCCTTCTCATTTCCTTCTCCTTTTTCCTCTCTCTCTCTCTCTTCCCTTTCCACCTCTCC